AATAAATTTAGATATAATTTTTAAATGCATTTAAATTTTAAATTAAATCTTAAATAAAATATTTAAATTCAAAACCTAACACGACTCGACCTGAATTCAAACATATATATATATATATATATATACATCAAGTTTTTATTTATTATATGTATGTGAATTATATATAAATTAATTCACAAATATATAAAAATTAAAAATAAAAATTTCATATATTTTATTAAACTTAATTTTTATTTTTTATTTATATATATGTAAATAAAATATGATTTCATTAAATTTAATTTAATCATTTTTTAATTTTTTTATTAATAAATTAAGTTTAAGAAGTGGGTTTGAATTTTTTTTTTTTTAATTTGAACCACACTTAGGAAAGTTTTGAAGCTCGAAATTTCAAGTCGGGTTAGACTTGGGTAAGCATATAAGCTATTGATATCAAATATAAACTTGATCCGGCCTTACCATTAACACGTCTACTCCATGGTGTTTTAGCAATAATTTTTTTATACAAACGAATTCATAGTTTGAAAAAAAAAAAAAACATTATACGTGTTAAGATTTAAATTTCAAATTTGTTAGATGTTATATTTTAAAAATGATTACATAAACTAATAAAGCTAAACTTTAAATTCTTTTAGCAATAAAGCTTTAATTTGTTATATTGTCACCTTTAAAAAATAACATTTAATAAATTTAAAATTAAAATTTTAACACATATAATTTATTTTTTTATGTTTAAGATGTAACATCTTTTGTAAAAAATATAAATAGTACATGTTTCTTAGAACTAGATGTTTAAGCATTTAAAATTTACTTAGATTCCACTTAATCATTAGTTTTAATTTATTTTTGTTGCTTACATCTTACTACTCCAAAAGTTGCTATAGAATAAAAATGAAACATTAGAAAGAAAAAGCACATAAGATTAAAAAAATCACTAAATGGTGACTAAAACATGATTTCAATTTTAATAGAATTCTTTTATGTAAAATTAGTTTAAATTATTCATTCTTAAAATAGGTTTAGAATTAAGTGATTAGGGTTTAATTTCTAAAAAACTTAGATCAAAATTATTTTGTATCTAACATTGTTCTCAATCGTTATGAAATAAGAAAATGAAGTAACCAAAGTAATAAATAAACATTTTAAGAGGCATTTGATTTGTGAATTTTTGGATTTCGAAAAAAGTAATATTAAAGAAAAATGTATGATTCTTGGGTTTTATTGATTTTATAAAATGTAATTTTTTTATGTTTAATTAGATAAATATAATATTACTTAATAAAATCTTTAAGTGTATTATCTTTGATAACACGTGAATAACATGTGAAAAAATATGTAATTTATTTAAAATTTTATTTATTTAACATGTTTGTTATTCATTTAATATTTTGTTAAATTATTTTAGATTTTATTGTCTATATAATATATGTAATAATTAATTTTGTACGTAATAATAAAATTTTGTCATAATATAAACTTTCTCATATTTCAACAAAAATTGCGTTTTTGATCTTTAAAATATTATTTTCATTAAAATTTAGGAATTTTGAAAATTAATTTTTTTTTTATATTTTCAACAAAAATCATGTATTTATTTTTAAAATGTCATTTTTTTTAATTCAAAAGATTAAATAAAAAAATAACATATAGAGTTATTATGTTTTTAAGATAAATAATGTTGTTTATATAATTTGAAAATATAATTAAGAGAGATAAATATAATAAAAATTTTACTTTTTCTTCAAAATTAAAAAAAAAGAAAATAAGAGTTTTTTTTTTTTTTTATTACCTTCGTTTCTCTTTTTGTTGACACTGTAAAGGTTATAAGAATTTCTAGTAAGAGAGAAAGTTTTTAAACCAAAACAAAAAATTAAATAAAAAAAAGTTAAAATACGCTAATGAAATGTACTATAAAGAGAGACCATGAAAAGATTTATAGAAGTAGATTTCATAATTCTTGTTATCATATCATATTTCATGTCAAATATAATTTTAGACATGACACGAATAATTTTAATGCGAAAATAATATGAATATTTAAATGACTTGAATACTCTAAACACGACATGTTTATTATATTTGTTACATACGACATGATTTGATTAATATATTTAAAATTAATTTATTTAACACACTCAAGTAACACGATATGTTTAATATAAATAACATAATTAGATATGATTAATCAATTTATTTAAATAAAAAATATTTAAATTAGTATTTAAATAAAAAATTATTTTAAAATTAAATGTTTATTATCTATTTAAACATAAAAATAATACAACAAATATGATTATTAATTTATTTAAAAATAAATTAAAATAATTTTTATAATTTATATGATAAATATGTTTGTATGAATAGTATTATATTTTATGTGTATTATCACTATTTAATATGAATATGATATAAATAATATCACATTTTAATTATATAAGCATGAAACATAATTATATTAAATTTATACATAATTTTTTTATCATATTTAAAATTATTAAATCTTTACAGACGAAAAGACTGCTAAGGGAAGCAAAATTTTACTAGGGGGGTGAAAAAGTGAGGAAGCAAGAAAACAAGTCCAATTCTTGTTCCAAAATCTCTGTCAAAAGTGCAGAAGTTGATCTAAAAAAGGGCCCATATTGGGTGATTCCATCATTACTCCCCATGAAATGTGATATAAAATGAGTTGGTGATGGAATAGGAAACAAACTTGAAGCCACAAAATCATCAACATGTCAAACAGCTGGAGCCCATCTCCACCTGTTTTTGGAGCCATTTGCGAAAATGACCATGGCAATGGCAGGCTATCAATGTATATCATCTGTTTTTCCTCTTCAAGAAAAATCACATACAATTAGATATCATGCTTATGTAAAAACCAATAGCAGGGTGACACATCGATCGTCTTCATCAATGGCCCTAATCATTTGGCCAGACTGTGGGCGTGGGAAGGATATTCTATTCTCCAATTCCAACCTTTAACATTTTCTGATACTATCCTGTTTTAACATCCCAAATCATACAAGGGCAAAGAAAATTGTTGTTTTTGTGGTTTTAGATTTGGTAAAAGTAAAATTGAATCCAATTTGGGATTTAATTAAAATGATTTACTCACCTCTTTCAAAAAGGGAATTCTCAAGAGACTGAGTTTTTTTATCTTCAACAGTTGCATTCCTCCTCAGGAAAAAAAAAAAATATATCCCTTGGCCCAAATTTGAGCCCTCGACTTGTGGAGATCCGCCTGTAGAGGAACCTGATCAGTGGCCTAAGCGCCACAGCCAGAGATGATGATTGAAGGCACATATGGAAAACAAACACCCATAAACAAGATGGGCTCATTTTCAAGATTTTGCGGGATTGTAGGGTAGCAGCCCCAACCCAAAAAAATGGGCTGGGTCTACTAAATGTTTGGCAGGGACAATCGTGATCAAGTTTCACCTAAAAATCATCATTACTGACCAATCACTTGGATTCAATCCTTAAGAATTATACTCCTTTGTAAATATATAGATAGATCTCTGCTCGTTTTGGACTGGGGGGGAGAGAGTTTCCCATGTCTTATTGATGACCAAAAAAATTTCTCTTAAATCTCCCTAGGCTAGGCAGAACCACTCCGGACATGTTTTACATGGAAGGAAAGAGAAAGAAAGCAGTGCTAGTACAGTGAGTTTCAGGTAACATTTCCTAGTTTAGTACTAAAAATGAACTATTCAGTAGCCTCAGCAACTTGGTTTAGACTCACTTGGAAGAACATTGAACGAGTGATAAATCCTTCATCTTCATCGACGACACCGACCTGTGTTACGCAGACAGAACAGCAGTAATTAAGACTACAGACTTAAAAAAGGAATGAGAAAAAAACCAGTGGTTTGCTGGGAATGGGTAGGGGAAACGATTTTTTCTGTTTTGGTGCCTTCTTCCATCTTGTCTACTTGCTCACTGCTTGCTACTACTGTTGGTTTCTTCTCTTTCCATTACTGCGCTGAAAAATCACAGCGCGGCTCATGTGAACTGTAATAATCTTGCACTTATTTATAAACGTGCTGATGGGTCACGAATCCAATGTACTAATAGTCAATGAATTAGGTATTAAATAAAACTTCAAAGTTGAAATAAATTTTTATTACAATAAGAAAAAAAATTATAGATATTAAGATTTGAATTTTAAGTATGCTCATAAATCAATTGAATTAAATATTATATTCAAATTGAATTCAATTTTGCTAATACTAAAATTTGTATAGTCAAATAATCAATATTTAAATGTTTTAATATAATGTATGATAAATTTAAACATAATAAAGAAACATAGTATAAGAATTATTATTCAAATCACATATCGTAATCACCAAGGCTAGTTGATCTTCCATTTGATGTCTTCTAGTATTTCAATAATGCTACATGATAGCCAAGCCAAGTTCATCTGTCGTTTGGTTGTTAAGTAAAAGCTAATAATTGTACACAAAGTTAAGAGTTCTTGCCTTCAAGTTTAGTGCCCTACCCCTTTCTAATCATCCTCTTACACCATAAATGAGTCCTACCTATAAAATAATAGTAGCATTTATATTGGCAAAAAAAAAAAAAAAAAGGAGCACGTATCCTTTCAAATGTAGCAATTAGGAGTGTGTCTACTCTTTGAAATGTCACTCACACACCTTCCCCAGGTTTGTGAACCCATATGTGGATTAATGGTCTGATATCAATAACATTAACTTTCTGATGCAAAGAACATAATACTTATGTCTCTACTAACCATGATAGCCAGTTATGACACTAAGCATAATATTTATGTTTCTACTAACCTTGATAGACAATTGTGACACTATTAGACTGGTGGATTAAAAATAGTCAAGCTTCACAAATATGAACCTGATCAATCTTCCATTTCTAGCTCTTCTTGGTAGCTCTTAAAACACCACACAAACATGCTTTAAACATTTACCTTTCTACATCACTTCTCAGGTGGTTCAATTATGTCTTCTAACTGATAGATTCAATACTTTGGAACAAGTTGTTTTATTTTCATATCGTAATAGTTTGCTGATAAATTGGACAAGGACCAGAGAATCTATACAACAATGTATGAAAGAGTAAATGAAGCTGTAATTAACAAACAAAGCTGTAAAAAATTTCAGATGTACATATAATAAAACTAAAACTTTCTTCAAAAGTAACCACACTAATCTTAGTTCTCCATGTTCACACATAACTCCGCTTCCCAACTTTGGAAGAGGCTGTTTAATCACCATGTCCTCATGAAAGAAATGCTGATTTTTTGCTGCATTTCAAGCTGCCAAAAATCAAATCCCAGTTAGGGTGCCATTATACAAATATTTCTCAAGAAAAGTACTTTCAAATTGAACATGAAATGCAGGCAGGTTATATATCAATCTGCATCACAAAAATTGAATGAAAGTACTACTGCACCATGCAAACATATGAGACACCATAAGAAGCAAGCTCTGATTTGTGTAGATCACAATATACTTAATGAGCCAAGAAACCAAAAGTTCTGCAACTACTATTTTTCCAACTTCAATGGTTAAACAACGAGCCACCCTTCTATCTTTCCACCTTTCCATCAAGCATAGCCTTAATTCGCAAGCAATCAAGTATGCAGGCCTTGATGATTAACAATGTCTTTTTAGCAGATTAAAATTGCATTTTACAGACTGAATCTGCTAAATACCCTAATTTTTTGACCAAGTATAGATCAAAACAAGTCTAGCTGGTGATAGTTTTATTGGCAGTAATATGGAATGATTGCAGCAATCAGTATTTATAGAAAAATGAATAACAAACTTTAATCTATTTTAGAGTGTTAGGTAAACGCCTTTTTAAGTTGGTATACATTGAACCTAATCCTATCCCAGATCCATTGCAGTCTAGCATTTTAATTAACAATCAATTCTCTTTTTGGAAGGTAAAAAGTGATTAACAATAAGGTTCAACCTCCTTGCAAGGTTAGTCTCTGGGGATAAAGGATACATCAATAGGTAGACTTATCAAGCAAACATAGATTATCAAAAAATGTCAACTCAACCAAAAATATTGTATTTCAGATCCTGATTGATTCATAACACTGCTTCAACAGGATTTAAAATCATTCAGATATGCAAGAAAAGACGCATGCAGCAATAAACGTAAACGGCCAAAAGCTACTGCCACTCTCAGTATCAAGAAGTCTACAACATTTCAGACAGATATTGTACCAAAGGAAATACAAATGGCTTAAAACCCCAGTGACTAGGGTCACAAGTTTCTTCAGAAAGTTAAACAATGGAACAAGATTAAGACAGATATATCAAATAACGCCTAACACAACCTAGACATTACATGACTGTTAGAACTTGCTTGCTTCCACCGAATATGATGTTTGTGCCACAAGTTCATATACTTCCATTTCTATTTTCTTATTCCTGACCCTCACCACCACCACTCATTTCTCACAACTTCTACACATGTTTTCCTTTACCTTATTACCTAATCTAACTTCTAGTATTAAGTTGGAGGAACACGTCAGTCAGTAACCAGAATTCCAGAGGAAAACCACATGGTCCTATAATCTTTCTACTTCAAAATATTTCTGAAAATATATCTTCTTTCAGCTACCCCATTTTCAATTCCCCTGTGATTTTTTTTTTTTTTTACCTTTATTAAGCTCAGAGAACTATTATCACATACATGTGAATGCTCCATCTTGGTATTCAATTTTTATAATATTAGTACCCACCCAACTAAAAGCATAGAGCATTAAGAAACACTTTATTAACAAAAACTAGTAAGAAAATATAGTATTAGTAGCTACATAGTTGTGAAACATTTAGTTCAGAAAACAACCACTATAATACCCTCCAAAATCAACACTGCTATCATCCCCATAAAGAAGCATAAAAACTAACAGATGTGTCAAACACAAAAATGCACCCTTGACCAAAATCGGCAAAACTATCAGTAACCATATGGGGGCAGTGGATGTCTCTTTGTGAGAAGTTAGAATAAAAAAACACATATTTGTCCCCTATTATTATTGTCATTTTATTATCGTATCAACAGCTAAGCTACAATGGTTATCTGAAAGAACATGACAAGAAATCTTTTGATGCTTAAGCAAGTTCTCTAAAAGATAGGGATTAAATATGTCTAGTGATCACAAAAATTGTAAGAGTCTTGATCTCCACCTTCATAATTATAGTAACTATACTCCTATTATAGATAACGACCAAGTTGTATGAATAGTGAGTGCATAAAATGAAGTAACAATAATCTCAAATTGTAGCTCAAGCTCAGTGACTCTAATTAGTGATATTTTAGAAATATTTCATAGAAATGATAAAGATGGTTTGGAAGGCATCATAGTTTCCATTCATCAACAATAACTGCAAGGAAATAATCTAAAAAGCCTTGCACCCATAACATTTGGAAGTCTGGGATTTCCAAATCAAATTGACATAAATTACACATGTAATTTGTAGAAAAAATGCTGCCAGATCCTACGACTCTAAAAGAGCATCATCACATGGATGGAAATTCGATATTGTGTCATGCCTAGCAGGCATTCTCATTATCTTCTCCAAAATCCTGCATGATTTTGCTATGCCCAACAATGGACCAAAGGCCTGCAACCAAAAATACCCAAACCTCAAATGACCAGCTTCATTGAATTAGCTTGTAAAATAATTTGATCACCATTAAACACCGCAGATGATACACATGAAATTGAACTATAATCCCAATTTTCAACAACCCCAAAATTGAAGGCTAACACAAAGACAGCACCAGAAATGGAGACGGGGGTAGAGTAATAATACATATAATTGTTAAAAGAGGAAAAAAAAAAAACTCACAATTCTCAATCCAAATCTTCTTGCCTGGCCTCCGCATTATCACCTGATCCCGAACCCGACCCACGAGACCGAAATGGCCAAGGCAGCGATATCCTAAAACTTCTCTCGGCCGCCCGATTATCCCCTGCAGACCTCTGCACATTATCAGCCCCACTACTACCATCACCATCATTACCTCCACTAGTCCCCTGTGCCCCACGAGCCCTCCTCTCATAATCAGGATCATCCGTGGGCAACTCGTGACGACACACAGGGCACGAATTATGCAATTCCAGCCACGGAAATATGCAATCCTTATGATAAAGATGCTTACAGGGCATCTGCTTTGCTTGAGTCCCTTCCTCGAACTCATCCATGCAAACTGCGCACTGGTTGAACTCCGAATTCAAGTGATTCTTCCTTATCTTCACCGAAGGTAGTGAGTCAATGGCTGATTTCGATGCAGGTGGGGTCCCATACCGGTTAGGGTCGTTTTCGGCCAGCTGTTGGATCAGTTGCTCGAGGCCAGGTCCAATGAAATAATTCCCGATGTTTGCTGGAAGCCTAAAGCCCGGCTCAGACGGATTGTTCTGGATCACGAACTCGATTTGCGCCCCGCTCGAACGGAGATCGTTGAGATGATTTTGGATGAAGGTAAACGCATCGAAACCGAAAGGATCACCTCGGCCTGGCCGGGGCGACCCGTATAGTCTAGGGTTATGAAGGTCAATAGAAGCAGAGGATGACGAAGTCGTTGAGGAAGAAGAGGAAAGGAAACGGAGCGGGAGGAAGGAGGAAAATGGATCCGATAACGACATATAGGGGTCGGCGAATGGGTTCGGGTTTGGATTTTGGAAGGCAGAGCCTAGATTAGGGTTATGGTTTTCGCATTCCTCGAGGAAGCCCTCGTTGCATATGGGACATGAGGGGCCAGAGGAAGGGGAGATCGTTACGGCGACGGTACGGTTACATAAATAACAAAAGAAAGGCTTATTGGTTACACCGATGGCGTTAGCCCCGCCGCCGCTAACGCTCCCGTCGAACGACATGTTTCACGTCTGGGATGGTTTCAACTGGAGTCAGCGAGAGAAATGAAATTTGATTATATGACTTTTTTTTTTTTTAATAAAGAAATATATTATTTTATGGGAAAGAGATTTTAATATTCTTTATAGGCTTCTAGAAGGTCTGCAGACTTTAATTAATTAATTAATTAATTAATTTTGTACTTCTGCTATTCAACCAAATTTATAATCCGTCCTCAAATAAAAAATGTATATATATACTTTTTAATTAATTAAATAGTTAAAATAAATATATATTTTCATTTTTAATTTGAAAATATAAAAGTTTTTTTTAATATTTTAATAATGAATCCAAACTAAGTAAGTTTAATAAAGAACGTTTAAGATAAATTTTTAAAGATATGAACTATTGAGTCGATCCACCTTATAAATACTTATATTAAATCTTTCAAATTTAAATAAATTGATTAACAATTACCACATATCAATATGATAAATATTGAATAATTATGATAAAAATGTTGAAATGAATACTGTTTTTCTTTTAAATATGACGTGAAAAAATGTGTTAAAAAAGATTAATATTTAAGATAGCTGTTTACTTGTTCACAAATTTTACATTTTGTTTTTTAAAAAATTATTATAGTTCTTTATTTCTCAAACTTAATATTTATAAAAAAGACATACCAATTTTTGTTATTAGACCAAAAGACTATTTTTTACATAAAATTTAGGGATAATATTCAAATAAAAATTTGAATTTTACTTATAAATGAAAATAAGTTATTAATACTTTATTAGATGAAATTAAGATTATAAAATTTTAGTTTAATATAATTAGAATCCTGATTATATTAAATGTTAATTTTTTTTAATTTTTTAATGTGATTTATAGAAAATGCTTATTTAAATTTATCTAGATGAATTTGATTGATAAATATTTGAAAATTTTTATTTTTAAAATTTGATAGTTGGATTTTATTTATCCATTTTCAAAATTTAATTAGTACAATTATAATAAAATAAAAATTTATAACTCCATGTAATAAAATATGGAGACTTTATTTAAGTATTATTCCTAGTTTTAGCTTAAAGGCATGATAGCTTTATCAACTGATTCCATTTTATTATTTTTTTTATTTTCCAAAAATTTTAATTACCAGTAATAGTAATTATTTTTCTTAAAAAAAAATTAGGGCATAGTCACGTGACATTCACGTGGGTAACCTTCAATGTGAGCTGTGGCTACAATTAAACGTTGGGGTTCCTGGCAAGCCGGAAGTAGATGCTCCCGTTTCTTCCTCACACACAAAAAATTCCTTTAAAAAACGAAAGCTCTGGCCTCTCAATTTTATCCGTCTCATCTCGCTTAACCAACCCTCAAAATGGACACCGTTCTCTCAAGTTCGTCGTCTTTGGTGGTCCGATCGCCCCTCCCTCCGGTCCGCACAGTTACTTCCCCATCTAAACACTACTCCGCAGCCGCAATTTTCTCTTTTACTCCTTCCATCAACGGCCTTCGAAAGAACCATCAACGGCCCCTGCGGTTTTTTACTTCCTCTACGGTTCCTAAACCTTCGATTCGGTGCGGTGCAGGCATTAAGGAAATCAATGAGAGTGATTTCCGAAGCACGGTGCTGGAATCCAACCGTCCCGTTCTGGTCGAGTTCGTTGCGACTTGGTGTGGTCCCTGCCGCTTAATCTCCCCTGCCATGGAATCCATCTCTCAGGTGTTTGTTTATGTACTTTTTCGTCTAAATTACGTATTTATTCCTTTCATTAAGAATTTTTTAAAAAATTTAATCAACCAGCGTAATTATTATTATTATTATTATCTTTTTATAAAAAAATTTCATGAAATTTAGGAATATGAAGACAGATTAGTGGTTGTTAAAATTGATCATGATGCGAATCCACAACTGATTCAAGAGTACAAAGTCTACGGATTGCCAACCTTGATTCTATTCAAGGATGGGCAGGAAGTGCCACAAAGTAGGAGAGAAGGTGCGATTACAAAGCCCAAGCTTAAAGAGTATGTTGATGCTCTTTTGGAGACTATATCTGTAGCCTAGCAGATCTTCTCCTTCCTTTATAAATGTAATTGTAGACGATCTCCATCTTTTTAACCTTTCTTTTTTGCCTTGCATCTGAGTTTGTATTTTTTCTTGTATAATTTGAGCTATAAATTTCATGAGATATAATTGAGTGAAGTTCAATGCTATGTTGCTTCAACTTAGAGATTGACAATTTGTGTAGCTCTGTCGTCTTCTTTTGTATCTGATAGGCTTAAAATAAAAAAGTGTCATGTTTCAATTTGTTTCACCTTAAATACAAAATATATTTTTTAATTTTGTTAAATTCAAACACAGTTTTATTTAAATTTTAAAGGATATCATTTTATTTTTATTTTTGTATTATATCACAATATCATATTTAAAATTATTAGTTTACTTTAACTCTTTTTTTATTGAAATACAAAAGTCTTACTCACCCAAATTAAAAAAAGTGGCATTTGCTCTTTTTTTTTTTTTTTTATGATTTTTCTTGGTTTTAAGTCACTCGTTTATCATACCATTTTTTTTTTTTTTTTTGTATTTACTATGGCTTTTTTTGCGTGTGAGAAGCTTGTAACCCTTGATTTAGATACACTATTATGTGGTCAGAAGATTGACGGTTTCCGCAAACAGGAGTGAGACAAAGATTGAAAAATTCGAAAATCGATATGAAATTATAATATTTGGTTTGGTTTAGATTAATATTTTTATTTAGTTTGAATTAAGTTCAAATATTAAATATATATAATAAATTTAGATTGAATTTCAAATCAAAAGATAAAAAATTAAAAAAAATTGAACAAAACTGAATTATATATATTTTAATATATATATATAATTTAAATTTTTATAAAATAGAAATAATAATTTAATATCAAAATTTTTTTAAATATATTAAAATTTTATATTAATATAACATATAAAAATTTAAAAAAATTAATAAATTAATAAATTAAATTGATAAAATTTTATTCTATACGAATAGAATGAAAAATTGATTTAAATTTTGAATTTTTATAATATTATATAATATTTTAAAAAATTAAATCAAATCCGATTTAAATCGAGTTATTTTCAATTCGAATTAAGCTGTTATTACTCTATTCAGAAAGAAAGATTGAAAGTTTGTTAAAGTTGTTGTATTGCTTTTTGTTGTTCTGCAATTTCTCCTCGTTCGTATTGCTTTTACATGATTATAAGCAGAGCATATTATAAATAATATTCCAACTCCATGTGTTGAATCTTGCTTTCAAGCATCCCTGTGCTCAGCTTTGCGGTTTCCACCAATGACAACCTCATCTGGGATGTACTTTCCCCAGAACCAGTGTTGCTTCCATACTCTGTTCATCTCTTCAATTGGGATGTTCTTTGTCTCAGGCAAGAAGAAGTGGATGAAGATAGTCATGATTATAGCAAAGCCAGCGAAGAAAAAGAAGAGGCCGAACTTCATGTGGCAAAGCATGGCGAGGAACACCTGAGCAATGGCAAAGGTGAAGATCATGTTTACTGCAACGTTGATTGCTTGTCCAGCTGATCGGATCTCTAGAGGACAGATCTCACTGGGCACCAACCATCCCAAAGGTCCCCAAGACCATGCGAATGCTGCAACATATGCACAGATCAAGAACAACAAAACGTTGGCATCGGTCCTTGACAAGTCACCATCACCATTGACCCCAAACTTCATGGCAATCATGACGCCTACTGCAATCTATAGCAAAATCGAGGGGAAAAATGGTAGAAGTTAGAATTTAGATAGGAGTCTTGAGGAGCATCTATGATGATAAAAGATTAATTACCTGGCTAATGATCATTTGTATGCCACCTTCAAGGAACAGAATCCTTCTTCCGAACCTATCAACTGAATAGATGGAAACAACTGTGGCGACAACGTTTACAGTGCCAGAGATAACAGCAGACATAAGTGATGCATCATCACCAAAACCCAAAGTCTTGAAGAGAACAGGTGCATAAAACATGATAACGTTAATGCCAGTGAGTTGTTGGAAGAATGGTATGAGAATGCAGAGGACAAGTTGAGGCCTGTATCTTGGTTTGAGAATATTACTCCATGGGTGATCCACTTTCTTGGCGGCCTCACTTGCATCAACAAGGTCTTGAAATTCAGCATCAACGTGTTGGGTGCCGCGAATTTTTTGCAACATTCGTCTTGCCTTCTCCGTATGGCCTCTCTCAAGAATAGAATTGGGAGTGTCTGGTAGTATGAACGATCCAACAGTCATCGCTATGGCTGGAACGGCTGCAAGAGCTAGAGAAACTCTCCATCCCCATCCACCCTCTATCTTTGCTGTGCCGTAGTTAATAAGGCCTGCGGCTAGTATTCCAATTGTAATGGCCATCTGGAAACCAATGTTCAAAGCTCCTCTAATCTTTGCTGGTGCCATTTCCGATAAGTACACTGGAACAGACTGCCATGGATAAACAAGTCATCCTCTGTAAGTCTTTTTGAGATAATAAAGGTGTAGCAGGAAGATCAAGAAGTTTACCTGATTTGCAAATCCAACCCCCACACCAAGAAACAAACGGCCAATAATTAGGAGAGCAACATTCATGGCAATGCCATTTAGAATTGAGCCGATAAGAAAAGCAAGGCCTCCAACGAACATGGAAATTTTTCGGCCAAAGATCCTGGTTACCACTGAAGCAAAGAAGGAAGCTATCAAAGCAGCAAGGTAGAGGGAAGATGTGAACAATGTGAGTAGCTCACTGTCGAATTTGCAATACTCGCTTTCGTGTTTGGCTGCATCATTCTGTTCTTCTAAGACTGATGGGAAGAACTTCTTCAAAAACGGTTCCATTGAGGTCACCCCTCCTACAGAAATAAGAAAAAAAAGAAAAAGTACTAATTAACATGAAATGATCATAACAAGACAAGACAGGCAATCCTAGTTGTCCGAACCTGAGATTCCAAGGTCATAACCGAAGAGGAGACCACCAGTGGCGGCAATCAGACAGGTGCAGATCACAAAGGCGGTGACACGACCTTCATAGTTGGCCCCTCCATCTTGAGCAACAAATCCTCCTCCTGCCATCTCTCAATCCTCTCCCGTAACTTACTCTGGCCTTTATGTAAGAGAAGCAGCGTCTAAGGAGTAAGTTTTTTTTCCCGTCCTTGTATTGTGATTTGCTTAGAATCTTCCCGGGGCTGATTAGGATCTTTCAATGGAATTTGCCTGCACAAGTCCCGCATACCACACCGAAGGAATAAAACTCTCCTACTACCCTCTGCTTGATCCTAGATGAAAAGCCTGGATTTATATCTGTGCTCAAGTCCTGCTAGCCTCCTAAAAACTCCAACTAACATTGTTGCAAAATAGGATAAAATTTTCAACATTTAGCTGTCTTTTCTATCTTTTGCTGAATCCAAACCTTTGAAACCTTCCAGTTTTACAACCCCTAACGTTTCGATTACTACTGGCTTCAACTTGATTTCCTTCCATTCTTCTCGTATATTATTTTGCAACTGAAATTCTCATCCACAAAATCTACACTTTAAACGGTTTGACCATGATAGTTATGGCTAAGAGAATTGTTCATATCCTTTTTCTTCGTTCTTTTCTTTTTGTTTTCCATTTTTTCTTCTAAAATTACAAGATTTTAGCCCAGACAATTCTAGCTGGTGAGGATAAGATCATTTTTGTGACGAAACAAGGAAATTTTAAACTAAGGTCTAATTGGTGCAAATCCTAATCCACAGAACTTTTGTGTCAAGAATTTTCCAGTTGTATTTTAGTTGGTTTACTTTCCATGTATTTATCATTTACACACACACACACATATATATATATATATATTTATATATTCATCTACTAGCTTTAATCTGCTATTCATGGGTGAGGGTTATATTTATATTATTAATTAATTTCTTATATAAATATTTATGTAAATTAAAAAGATAAAATTATGAATTTATAAAAAAAGACATTTTAAATTCAAGTTATAATCTTCAATATGATTTATTTATTGGTTAATAAAAAAATTTCATGTATTGAGTAATAAGTGAAATGAATTTTTATATTTTTCTAATAACATTGTTCACTATTTCAAATTATATTCATGGACTTTTGTTAGTAAGACATTTAACAATTTTTACTTAATGTTGTAAAAAATATGAATTCGAAATTTAATTTAATTAGTTCATGTAGTCACATGAAATGAATTTTTATATTTTTACTAGTAAAATTGTTCACTATTTCAAGTTTTATTCATGGACTTTTATTAGTAAAACATTTAATAATTTTTATTCAATATTTTAAAAAAGATGAATTTAAAATTTAATTTAATTGATTTACGTAATCAACTTGATATTTAATAGATTTATTGTTTAAATTTTAAAATTTGCAACCGTTTTCTTTATCATTAAGTTACGTCCTCTTTTGTACCTCAAAAAAAAGAAAAGAAAAGAAAAGAAAAGATAATATCACTAAAAAATTTAATTGATTTAACCATGTTCATTTATGTCCATTAAATTGATTTTGGGTACAATTTGTTTTCATGTGGCTAAATATATTGGCTAAGTTTATTGAAAATTTGGTTATTTAAATAGCTAATAAAATAGATGGTACTTTTCACCTAAAAAGAAAACATAAGAAGTTATTTATTAGTTGTTACATAAATTAGCACATTTATTAGAAAAAAAATTAATTACAAAGATTAATATGTTTTTAAATAACTATTGAAAAATAAAAGGAAAAATAAATAAAAAAAATATCATTTTATAAGAACAAAGTAAAAAAAAGGTAATATACTGTAGGATATTATAGCAAAGATTATAGTTTTAAAACTGTAGAATAATCGTTTGATGACAATTAGGAAAGATTGATAATTTTTTTTTAAATAATATGTTTTTTTATAAAATTTAAAAAGGGTACAATAAAAGTGATATGTATTTTATAATTTAAAAAATCTTAATAATAAAGAAAAAAAATCAAATTTGTAATTTTAAATTTAAAAATATATATCTTTTATGTCTTTAATAATTTCGGATTGGAATTTTAATCTAATGTCAAGGCTCTATTGTAGTTTGCTCCATCACCTTAAAGCACAATGGGAAAAATAAATTAAAGAAATAAACAACATTTTAATATTTTTATAGGCACAGTCAAGAGTTCGTGACTTATGAGACTTATGTTGATATTGTGTTTAGAGTTTTTAATGCAAATGTAATGTTAAATACATTACAATTTGTGTTAAAAATATTTTCGATAGCTACAAATGAATCAATTAATAAAAATTAATTAAAGGGTGTAATTATAATTTTAAATTTATAATTTTAAAAAAAAATTAAATATCAACTTAATAATTTATTATTAAAAAGAATCCTTAATTATTGAGAGGCGATGGCTGAGAAGTTTGGCACGGGAGTTACAGTGGATGACTAACAAGCTTAGGAGTTATGGGATGTTAATGAAGCTTTGGTGCAGTGTTTTGCTTCTGTATATCTCACAGCGAATCCATGGTCGAGGGCTGCATTGTTATGATCTCAGTTTTTGCCATGCGAGAATTGGGCTTTGCCTATCCCGTTTTAATGATAAGGAAATTGGGAGATCCAACCGTAAGTGGGGGCTGAAATTGATGGTCCAATTAAAGTCGGCTCTAATTATTTACGTGGCAAATTACCATTGGCTGCCTAAACAAAACGTCTTTATTGCTATTTTAAATCAAGTTGTCGTTGGACAACACTGAAAATTCCCTTGTAGGATTGAGTTCACACTCTCTTCAATAGTAATCGTACAACCAAGCAAAAAGTTTTTTTTACGTCATTAATATTAAGTGTTATTTTCCTTTCAAAAGAAAAAAAAATAAACATCAGAGAAATAAAGAAAGACTCCAACGACGCCTCCCTCTCTCTCTTTCTCTCTCGCCGCTTTTATCATTTTTAGGTTAGATTCTCGAATTATCCCCTGATTCGATCCAATTCGAACGCACCCCTGATCTCTCCTTTGTTTTTTTCTTTTCTATTTTCAGCAAACCGCTGCTCTCTTTCCGGTCTAAAAATTTTCTTCTACAAGGAACAGCAAAACGAAATCGACGGCGCCCTGTTTGAGAGGAAGCCAAAAGAATGTCGACCGAACAGAAAGAACAAGAATCAAACCCTAATGGTAATGATAACGATAATTTGAACGGTGAAAGTGAGCATGAAGAAGAAGAAGAAAAAGAAAAAGAAGAAGAAGAAGAAGAAGAAGAAGAAGAGGCTCCACGTCAGTCATCGACGAGAACTCCTTTCACTAATCTCAGTCAGGTCGATGCTGACCTGGCTCTTGCTCGAACCCTCCAAGAACAGGTGAAATGTTTAATTTTTTGTAGCTTATTACTTTAAAATTTGTTCTTTTTTTTTTTGTGATTTATTTGTTAAGTTAATCTTTTTTTACCTTTATATATTATACACTTGCTGTAGGAAAGGGCATATATGATGCTTAGAATTAACAATGATGGGAGTGATTACGGAAGTTGGGAGGCTGGAAGCTATTTGCATGATGATGACGATGATTTTGGGGATCCTCATGATCACGATGATACTGATGTCGATGATGATGATGAGGAGGAGGAAGACGAGAATGAGGGGGAATATGATGGCACTGATGCCAATGATGATGTGGATGCGTTTGATGTGCACCCTCATGCTGAGAATGGGGAAGATGATAACAACCCTAGTGTTGAATTCGATCCGGCTGTTTTTTCGAGTGATGAGGCTTATGCTAGAGCGCTTCAGGATGCTGAAGAAAGAGAAGTGGCTATTAGATTGTTGGCCTTAGCTGGGATTAATGATAGTGAGTGTTCACTACTATGAGATTCTTGTTAATTGTTTTCATTATATGCCAATGTTAATAGTGTTACTAAAGTTTTAATAATTTGCAGGAGGAATTGTTACTTTAGAGGATCATGGCGGTAACTCTCAGGTAGAAATTCTTGCAATATATGAGTTCTCAAGCTTAATCCATGCATATATATGAACCTTTAGGTTCATTAATGGAAAAAATTCAATCAGATAAATTGTTTTTAATCATAGGGCGTGTATTGATATCTCGATTCATTGTCCACTATGTCACCCTCTTTACTTAGATGCCTCTTTGGTTGACTTTCTTATATTCGAATGGTGATTTAAAGCTGTCATAAGTGGGGTATTGCACTTGGAACTGATTTAAAATGGATGGTTTGAGTTTGTCTGGACTTTGGTCTCCGCATAAGTGTACTATGATTAAATTTTTTGCTTGTTGGTCACATTTGCTATGGGGAGCATGTTAACCAGGAATTACTCTTTGTTATCCTACCTATAGGAAGGGTGCTTTTGTTTTACCTGGTGAATATTGTCTACTTCTGTAGAAGGAATAAGTTTGTATTTTGCCTCTTTGAATTTGGTCTTTTATTTTTTCTGTTTGTCTAATTTTATTTTTATCCCTTCACTATTAAATGAAATGATTAACTTTTGGCCAAAAAAAAAAAACGAAAACATGAAATACTAGAAGTGATGTATGTGACATATATCATTTGGACATTCTTGCACGTGTTTATAAATACTTAGATGGTCATCGATTCTTATTTTGCATTCTTTCCCACATGCCTGCAAGGATGAAAAATGCAATAAAGCATCAGGAAGCATGTTATGTTCTCGCTTCCTTGATGTCAAAGATGTGCGCTTGTGGAAAATTTTGAATTGTGACAAATATGTATGGTTATAGCTAGTATAATTGTTATCTGTGTTTGTGCATGGAAAGCCTATATGAAGAGTTTTTACCTGAATGGCAATAAAGCTAAAATCTTAGCAAGTTATTTCCAATCTGATGCCTGGTATGGCTACATTTGGGTTTTACTCCTCTTGCCATCATTAAATGATAATGACCATTAAATAATATGATTTCTATTAGCTTTTGAGTACTTATGCAAAACGCACTTGCTGAAATTAGCACTTGATTCCCTCTTGATAGTCACCTCATATCTTCAACTAGAAAAGTTTAAATCGTCCATTTAGTTGTCACTTTTACATTGTTATACCCTCTCTTTCCTCTATGTTTGAGGCAGAGGATTATGCCTTTCCCTCCATTTCTTTGGTTGATAATATTGTTTTACCCTGTTGGATGAGGCAGTGGTTTATATATTCTACCTGAAATGGTTGTTCTTTTACATCTAGAACTTCTCTTATTGGGAATGGTCTGGTGATATGTTGGAATAAAATATCTGCATTGAGTATCAGTCAGCCTTTTTTTCGTATTAACGGTGCTGAGAATTATAACTGTTCACAGCTTGAAAGGCAAGGATTATGTTGTGATTGGTTCAGAATTTGTCGTTGTCATATGTTATAGTTCTGAACACTTTTTTTTTTCCTGGAAATTTATTGTTGGATTATATAGTTATTCAATGCCCATAGTCATTCCTGATATCAAGTCCTTTGGAGGATAGAAGCTAGTTCTGTTTTACACTGATCTTAATGAGAGTTGACTATGAATTTTCATGAAATAGCAAATCCATGTACCAATTACTTTGACATTTGCATTCAGGATAGAACAAGATTTTTCTTCCTTCTCTTTCTCTCTCTCCTTGTTTTGTAATGCAGTGCTGGACTCTATTATTTCAATTTGTTTCAAGTCAGTCTTTTGGTGACATGCATTTGCAGGATACATGGGAGGAAGTTGATCCTGATGAGCTTTCATATGAGGTAAGCAGCCCTGTAGATTCTACTGCTTTAACATTTTGCTCAAGCACTCTTATTGAGCCTTAATCTGTCATTCAGGAACTCCTTGCACTTGGTGACGTAGTTGGAACCGAGAGCAGGGGGCTTTCAGCTGATTCAATTGCCTCCTTGCCTTCAGTAACGTACAAGGCAGGAAGCAGTCAAACTGGAAGCCATGATTCGTAAGTTTGAATGCCATAGTTTTTAATGCCTGAACTTTTTTCCCTTGATGACTAAACTTATATCCTTGTTTTCAGGTGTGTCATATGTCATGTAGACTATGACGATGGTGACTCCTTGACACTGCTGTCTTGCAAGCATTCATATCATTCTGAGTGCATAAATAATTGGTTGAAAATAAACAAGGTATGCTTATTTATATTTGTGATTAACTGCCTTTCATTTTGTTTGTGTCATATAGCGATTATAAAGTGTCAGTGGCTTGTTAATCGTCCCGTTGATATTTTCATCAAAGGACATATTGGGAAATTTCTTGTTTTGAAATTCTGACCCCCTTTGGTTTATCTTTCCTGTGCTTTTGTTAATAGTATACATGTTAGAATACTGGTTTATGTGACCATTGTATTTTACCTTTTTGTAAACAATGTGTTGCAGGTTTGTCCTATTTGTAGTACTGAGGTCTCTACTTCGGGGCAGAGCTAGTATTTTTGGACAATCCTCTTCCTCTGGCACTTGTTTGTTTTAATACGCAGAATGTAGTACCATCTCTTTATATATGGGAAAAAGACTTGTATCAACAAATCTTCCTGCCTGTATCTATACGTTCCGTATTGACTTGTGTGTTATACCCGCTTTGGAATTAGTTTACCGTCTTTCTTTTATGCCACCACTGACGGGGCTTCTTATAGTAATGACAATTTTCCTCACCAAATTACTTCACCGATTGAAGATTATCAATTTTAACAATGGAATTGAAACTTCATCTGTATAATGTTTTTATACTTTCACATAAGAAAGAACACCAATGAAAATCTTTAATACTGTATGTATGTTTTTTCTCTTGCAAAAAGTATCTTATGGTCCATTTTGGTTGGGGATAAAGAGTCTTTTCTGTCATATTTTGTGTCAATATGAAAATCAATGATCTTTCTCCTAGTTTTCTTGGAATTTATGCTTTGTGGATATGTGGTTTCTCAATTAGACATTTAACATAAAATTTTATTTTGAATTTGTTTAGTAATTATTTTCCATTAATGGCCAAAAGAGAAAAGATTATTTTCCATCGGATTGCGGTTGGTCTTTTATTTTTGTTTGGGCTTCATTGTAAACTGGTCCAATAACAGTACCCAACTTTTAATTTCCAGTTCCTGTAAATGTGGAATGTTCCAAGCTCTTAGTACTGTCCTTGGACAGATGCAAATCGTTCACTGAACTTAAGCCAATTCATGCACTGCTAATAACTTTTGGCCTCTATCATGATGAACCTATATTATCAAAACTTTTCTCTTCTGCTGCTCTCTCCGATACAGGCAACATTGATTATGCATACCGGATTTTTTCCAGGCTACCCACTCCGCCTTTATTCGGACCACAATTATCCGAGGTTACTTCAACAGTAAAAAACCAAACAATTTCTCTGTGAAATGCCCATGGAGCCGACGGCATAATTGCTAGTGCTCTGCTAAGTGGGTTCATAATATATGGAAAATCTGATCTTGCAGAAATAGTAGGAAGCTAAGCTAGCTAATTGAGTTAGACCCAAATCATGATTGTAGATACATTGGCTTGTCGAATGTTTATGCAGCTGTCAGGCGATGGGATGAAGCAAGAACAATGAGAGAGGCCATAGGGAGAAGGGGAATGAAGAAGTCTGCTGGATTTAGTTTTGAAGAGATATCTGGAGGTGATTTAGTTGACTGCATGCTTTCTTGAACTCAATGAAACTTACCAAAGGAATGATTCAAAGTAGATTTCAGAAATGGCCTCTGACTTTTTTTTTTCCTTGTGATGCTATTGTATTACACATAGAAAGAGCAATCCTTCCCATTGCATTTACCCCTATAAGTCTTCTGGTAAAGTTAGGGTTTGGTTTCTGGTTTTTATTACAATCATCCAAGAACTATAATTACTATGATTAAACTAAGCCACCATATATGTTTTGCTTTCCCTAATAATCAGGAGGTACAAAAGTTGTTTTCATTTTAATTCATATTCCAAATTTTGCTTGCTGCTTCAACTACTAGAGTCAGCAGTAGTAGTTTAGAATTTAATCGAATCTGTTCTCTATTCTCTGATCAGAAATTCTACTAGAAATATTTATTAAACTTCAGTAGTAATTTATAGTTTCATACTTCTCTCAATAGCATAGTAAATGAAAGAAAAAAAATCAGAAACACGCAGAAAAGCGTATTAATCTTAAGTTGACTGTCTAACTTCAGAAACATGAAAGCATAGCGCACTCCCTAAACCAAATATATAAGAAATATGCTTCTAATAGATTTGTGAACATAAGACTTGATCCCAATGCTGACTCTGTCCGAGTATACCATTCTCTTTTCATCCAGGAAGCTCTTCTCAGTTCTCAGAAAACCTGCTCATTGCTCATTCTGCAGAATTTTAATCAAAAGACTGTCATAAGATGTCATGATAATAAAAACAAGTTACAAACAACTGAAAGGAGACATGTATCTGATGACTAATAGATATCTTTAGCAACTTCTACTTAGGAAGTAAGGATCCATTCAGATACAATCTCATTGAATTCAATCATTTATTTTGTTTGGGGAAATAATGTAGTTCACATTTCACTGAACAAATGCCTGTTTTTCTGCCGCTTTGAACTAGTTCACAGTTCACACACTGGCTTTAAGGTTTCAACGAGCCAACTGATTTTGTTGCAATAAACTCCGAACTTTACTTCAGAACACTATGAAAAAGCCAGCATTGAGACTAGTAGATGCTTGATGTAAAAAAATATAACGGCCAAATGTTTTGATGATTATACCATACATGCTAGACATTTGAATCTTGAAGATTAGGCTGAGCAAGCTGGAGCTGATAGGAGTGAAAGTGTTGAGGAATGGTTGCAAGCTGAAGCACACTACTAGGTTCACCATAGAAGGGGAATTGATCCAGAACTTGCTGATGCTCCACTGCCTTAGCTTCTAATCCTCCCTGTTGATATTCTATTGCTGCTCGGTGTTCCTGAATCTGCGTGCATGATCACCAGGAAACCAACCCAATTAGTAATGTTTTATCTTCCAAAACCCTATTTCATCAGAAAGAAATTAACATTACGCATATATAATCTACAAAGTTAGTGGTTACACTACAGAATAAATACAAGTACTTCACTTAAATTCTTTACTAATTACCCAGCGGTACATGTTGCTGTTGTCTTCCTCCAGTATTCGCTCCTAGACACATCCAAAGTCGAAAATTGAATTAGCATCTGAGTTTAATTCATAAATGTTGTGAGGGGAAATTAAAGAAGTGTTATTGTATCACCTTTCTACGTAGATTATCCAGCTGTTGCTGCAAGAGCTCATTCTGCAATATTCGAAGCCAAACAAATGAAAAACAAAGTCATGTTAGTTGAAAGAAAGAAAAGACAATTACTTCTCCTAAACTTGGTTCATCAACTTTGATCAGACGTTGATTCTCTGACATTATTGAGAAATAATGGTTGATTTTGGATGTGTAGGATGAGAAAAGAGTGGGAAATATATAATGGAAGATGATAATTAAACAGTACCTTTCGCTCTCGGACCTTGGTGAGAGAGTGTTCAAGTTCTTGTTCAAGTTGATCAAGCCCTTCAAATGGTATAGAGCTCATGTCCTCACCAGTGTAATGTCGCAAGCTTAGTTGAAGACGACGGGTTTCTTTCCTCAAGACCGCCAATTCATTGTACAAATGTTCCTATATATATATGTTGTAGAAATGAAAGAGAAATTTAAGAAAATTTGCAAATACCTTCATATATAAGCCAAATTTATGTAATCGTAAATATATAATTAATGATTCTTACCCAGTTATCATGCTCAGGAATGCGAGTCCCACTGACCTTCTGGTATCTTTCTATGATTTGCTCCATTCTGGGACAATGCATATAGCAATTAAAGAAACAAAAGCTTAAATCTTTATGTGACATTGCAATTTTCAGACAATAAATTAGCAGACACTAATTAACTTTGCACATTACATGCACCTCTGAACTGAAGCATGGTAACTGCCCTATTTAAAACCTCTTTCCACCCTAGATGGCCTTAGCTAATCCTATTATCTTTTTAATTATAAGTTGTTATTTCTGGAATTGGGTTGGAAAGCTTTAGCTCATGGAATTGGCATCAGATTTTTGATTCAGCATTTCTATATGTGCATGTTCAATTAGTATCTTATAGGACTAGATGCTTATACTTCTAATTAAAAAGGTTTTAGAAAATATCTGTCTCTCAATAAAAGTTCATTAACATATATTTAGGAAGGATATGCATGTTATAAACTCTTAATTGTTTAAGTTATTTCATTTTAATCCTTAGAAAACAAAACTTCCCAGTAAATGATTAACATATATATATATATATATATATTTGATGAAAATCTTAACTCCTCAAATTAAGGCAATAACAACTATATGTTCCACATGGCATGAATTATTCTCAAGAGAAAATTCAGTTCAAATTACTCATGTGCCTGCAGGCTTGTGCTAGGGGGCTAAAGCTAATTTTAATATTATATTATTATATATTTAACAGGGCATGCAATTCTATTAGTGAATCTCACTTGACTTGAGGATGCTACATATATAGCTAGAGATATTCTTCAATTAAGGATATATGAATCTCAGATTCTTAACCATGAGAAAGATGAGCATGAAAAGAAGCCATGGAATAAACCCTAGCTATCTAGTTACTCAGAGCCATGGCAGATGGAGGAGCAAACCAAAACCACCCAATCTTTGTCAAATCAAAATTTCATGCGTTTTTTGGCCAAGGTTGAGAGATGAAACTTAGACCAAGTCTATGGAAAAAAAGGGTAGCTTTCTTCTAAGCAATATGGATTAATCATGCAAACGTACCCTACAGATGCAATGAAATGAAGATTGAAAAAAGTAAGGTGAGAAGGATAAACAAGGGCCGTAGAGAGACCTATAAGGCTCACTGCAGTACTGGCACATCTTGCCAGTGCTAGAGAAGATGATGAGCCCAATCTGAGCATCGCAAAGCACGGAAAGCTCGTGGGTCTTCTTCAAAAGCCCAGCTCGCCGCTTTGAAAAGGTGACCTGTCGAGTTGTCTGGTTCTCAATCCTCTTGATCGGTATCTTTCCACGTCCCATAATTACGCAACAGGCACCTTAATCTTGTCTAGCTATCTCTAGTTAGGGAAAGATGAAATCAGGGGATTGTACTCTTTCTTCACTTCTAAAAACCACAAAAAAGGTGCAAAAGCATTTAGGTCACACAAATAATAATGGGAAAAGAATAAGAACAGAAAAAAAAAAAGGTTTTAATGGGACAAGTAGACACAAAGATATGTGATGATAAAATGGAAACTAAAAGTTTCTGCAACCTAAAATAAGAACTTTGTATAGTTTTTGTACTTCATAAAAACAGGAAGGGAAGAGAGAAAGAGAAAGTAAGATGACTGCTGTGTTTACCTATTCCTTGCTCGTAAAACTGCAGCTGTTTTGGTGATGCGTGTAGGAACAAGGAATTTATTCTATAAGCATGCTTCTTTGCCGTTTTCTAAAACACTCCATCTCTTTCAGCAAAACTACAAAATTGCACCTCTCTCATTCTCAATTCCCATTTATATATGAAAAGATCATAGAAAGAAAGAGATGAGAGAGAGCCAGCTGCCAATTAAGTCCCTTATTTATTCCATTGTAATTTTAATTTATTAGTAGTTTTTGGTACAAAGAGATTACAATAAAAAAATTATTAGTATATATTGATGTCATTTTTTATAGTTGACTGAAAATAAATTAAATTAAATTTCGAATTCACTGATAAATTTTTTTATAAGACAAATCCAATGCTTCATCACTCAAAATCAATAATGTTCCATAGGAGCTAGGGAGGGTTCATATGAATGACCATACCGATTCACAATAATTTCATGGCTATACGAGCAGTGGCATTATCAGTAATTTAATTGCAATAAGTATTCCTATATTGTCCTATGCGGAAACATAGATAAAAAGAGTGCTATGACTCTTAACAACTCTCTGATCTCATCTGCCAAGCAACAAGAAATTTACCAAATTTAGTAATCTTTTACAATGGGTAGAAAATTATGGTAATCAGAAAAGCAAATGCGAGAGGAGAGGGGGGGGGGGGGTGATCCGCCAAAATCCTAAAGACCCCTAATGGGAAACGACAAACTGTAACAATCCCATGAGAAAGACTTGGTGTGCATTAGTTCATGGTATGGTCATTGAGCATCACAGCAACTTTGAGGTAAAAATTAGAGGTAAATTCTTTTACGCTTAAACCTTTAGATGAAGAGGGTAAAATTCTCATCACCTAGAGCTCTATTTTTGGCTGTAAATCCTCCTTTGAAAGCACTAATCAAACCCCCTTTCATCTGGTCTATATGATCCTTTTTGCCTTTTTGACTGCAAGAAATGGAAATGCAGAACCAAGTATTCACTACACGCAATCTGAAAAGGATCAAAAGTCATTGTGCTGAAACACCAAACTTTGATGAAATGAACCAGGATAATGCATGGTCATTTTAATATGCTTTTCTCCTTACGTTGAAGATTTCTTAAAACTAATCGGAAATAGGCCTCCTCTCATTTTAATTCCCACCAAATAATGATCGAACACCAACTAGATATATTGAAGTCATTTATTCGGAGTTGATGAGAAAAAGCAGTTTAGTTCAACTATATATAATATCATCACCAGAAAAAACCTGTTCATTAACTGTGTTTCCGAATTCTGACTTTCCAGTGTTTTTTTTTTTATATCAAATCCTGAGAATGCGTAGACATGTATTACCATGTTCATGCAAGAAGAATAAAATCAACAGAACTCTCCCAAAGAGTAACATGTAGTAAATGCGGTGTTTCTTTGTACATACGCAGTTAATTCCTCCCATATATTTTGGTACACGACGCCATAGCCTGAGAATAAAAGAAGTGATGGCAGATGTTATAATTCGAGTTTTAAAATGTTACATGAATCAAATAAGTTCAGTTCTGGACTCAATTTCACCCATCATTTTATGAGCTAGGGCAGTGATATTAATTTCTTAGTTAGAAAATTGAAATTGCTTGGTTTTCAATGATCTCTTTTTCGGATTCTTGTTGGGCAGATAAGGGTTTTTGTTGTTTAATCAGCATTTTGTCTCGGTCTATTTTTAGTAACAATCCATAGCCAGAAAATACATATTAGGTTTTCTCGAAGAGGAAGCTAAGGGTGGCCATTGGTCCCTCAGAGTTTGTCTAGCATTTCCATTGCTAGTCAGCATCATAATATCCCACTTAGCTCAGAAACTGCAGTAATTACAAGCCATATTCACTGAAACAATCTCTTTTTCTTCCTCTCTATCTCTTCTCTCTTTTATATCAGTCGGTTGAAATCCCAGTCTCTCCCAGCAAGTTGACTAGAGTCTGAAGAAAAAACGAAATGAGAACATGGGGGCTTACCATAAAAGGGAAGCATCGCAGAAGCGGTTTTAGGTCCACTTCAGCCCTCATTTAGGGCTCATATTCACATGGCCCTTTGCAGGCATCTGAATTTGCATCATGCTTCATCATCATTACCACTACCATTAAATAAAATAAAAGTAAAAGGGTAGCCCAAAGAGATGGCATCATGCACAAAACCCTGGTAAAAATTTTCTCCTTTGGCCTTAATTATATGAGATTAATTACCATTCTGGGATTAGTTTGATCAAATTTACTTTTTTTGGCATTAATATATATACCCCGAAATGCATTTTTTTCTTTTTAGTACAGGGGATGGGGGAGGCTAACCTGAGACCTCAATGTTCCATTTTAGCACTATGCATTTTTGGTAGACTTATTATTGTAACATTGTCGTTCAAAATTGTAATCTTTAATTTGTAGGTTATTAATTTGCTCGTAAATCTTAAAACCTAGCTGCAAATTCAACCCATTTTTTCTCCATCAAATCAATTCATATTGTTAATTCCCTTAACAAATTATAAAATCTGAATAAAATAGAACTTGCACACTTATTGATCACCAATGGTAAATTTAAGAGTCCAATTGAAAGATTAGCCATATATAAAACACACCATCCGATACAGTGAGAACCCTTCTGCCGGCCCATAGACTGCAAATCAATTACTTCATGCATGGTCAACTAATTCTTCATTTATATTCCCGTGAATGAAGCCAAAAAAAATTTGTGAAACAGGCGTCTGTACTTTGTTGAGAATTGCAGGTTCCAGGAAAAGATATCCATGGGCTTTTGTTTTTGGGAAAAAAAATAACAATTTGTTCAATTTCACAAGTCAAAACTCCCAAAAATCTTGCAAATTATATTCCTAGAATTGGCTTCGGTGAACTAAAGCCATTACTCCGATCTTTCAGTGCCATTTTCAAAATAAAATACAATATAAATTCATGGTGAAAACTTCAGAATAGATGCAAAATCAAGGGCAGGGCATGGCTCGTCCTGTCTGTATAAGCTGGCATTTTACAACTCAATTACTGGCTAGTTCAAAGAGCCCAGATTCCCATGGTGAAACACTACCACTAATAAACAAGCGGCTGTAATGAATTTTTCTCAAGGCTCAAACTTCTCGGGTTTGTTTGTATCAACACAACCATCAAAGGATGGCACATTGAAAGAGGATAAAAGATTTCCCTTCCTTTCAGTATAAAATAATTTTGGACAAAACAATGAAAATATATAAAAAAAAATCCACCTGAAACTAATTCAGGAAAATGATTTCTTTTTTCTAGAAAAAACACTAATTCGTGAGACCTCTTTGCTTCAAGACATCAAGCATTGCTACACCAATCTTTGCAGGTGATTCAACAACCGTCACTCCAGCTTCCCTCAGAGTCTTGATTTTGTCCTGAGCTGTGCCCTTGCCCCCAGACACTATAGCTGTTTGTACAAAAATAGAATAAAGCAAAGACAAGGAATAATAAATAATTGAATAAAACATTTTTGAGCAAAAATGGCTTATATTGTTTCGAGAAAAAATTCCATCCTCAAAGAAGGGCATTAACACAAACTGAAACCATCAAGCATGGAAAAAAGCACCAGATACACTGCCTCAATAAACTCAACCAACATTGCTATGACCTTGTCCCAGAATAGTCAATTTCAATTGTGTATCCTATCAATTTCGATACATAGACACATTAAGAACAAATATGACATTTACCTTTCATATATTGATTATTATAGATTGAGCGTTTTCTTTTTCCAGTATAAAGAGGGTCTTAAAATTACTGTTTAGCTTATGCAAGAGGGCATACAAGAGATAAAATACATGTAACTGCAATCATAAACCTAATAAACAAAACATAGAAGCAATGTATTACCTCCAGCGTGACCCATACGCCGTCCTGGAGGAGCAGTAAGTCCAGCAATGAAGGCAACAACAGGCTTTTCAGTCCCACTTTCCTGTTTAATTTATCAAACAAAACCAGATGTTAAATTCGCAACTAAGAAAGAAAGATATTCTCCAGCATTTTTAGTTTTATACAAGTGCAGTGGAAACAAGATAAAGAAGGTTCAATATTACCAATTACTATATCGCTCTATGAAGAAGCATATAAATTGCAAACATGCCTCTTATATCTATGGAAGTAAAATTAACAAAAGCAACATGGAGCAAAACCAATTAAGCATATATTCAAAGAAGCAAAAACATATAGGACCAAAAGGATAGAGGGGGTGACTTATGTATTCACCATATAGGCATATATGAGCACAAACACATTCATTTGTGGATCCATGGATCACAAAGTTATACATTCAGCACTGAATCACATTATGAGTGAGAGATCCAATCAAATGCGTAACAAACATGCAAGCCTCAACAAAAAGTGTAGGATGCATCCAGGGTATAATATGGCCATAAGTTACAGTAAAGAAATAGCTTTAATTTTACTAATTACACACATACCAGGTTATTGCAAACCTTAAGCTTATACTTGCATTATAAAAGGGTTATATTGCTCTAGATAATTGTAATTTCCTATATTCTTCCAGCCCGAGATTTCTTTGTTTTTGTTTCCTTCACCCAAAAGGTAATTTGCTTTTGGCCAAGGGGGTAGATTAAAATTAAGGCTTAGTATGATTTCTTTAAGAGAAATAGACTGTAGAAAACATGAATCCCAATCCTATCATTACTTAGATGTTATCATCTATGCAAAAAAGGACTACTGCTGAGACAATTACGAGCTAAATGTAATTCAGAGGGTATTATATAAAACATCGAAAATTTCTGACTATCTTATGCCTCAATTTTATCCCAATTGAGGAGAGAGAAACCAAATTTGTTAGTTGCATAGGTGTAAAGAACCATAAATTATAAACCAACTCTTACAAAGTAATTATGATCTTACTATTAATCAAGTGAGAATCTGCATAGAAGTCCACTATTTTTTCCTTACATATGTACTAAAAACAGTAACTAGTAAGTACTAACATCAGTCTCTGGATCAAGGACTCAGTTCCTTCATTCTAAAGTATTAACATTACCGTTATTAGTGTAGCAGCATCTTCTTCTGCAGTGCCGCCTATCTCACCAATTAGAACGATACCTGAATGCAATTGCAATAATTAGATGGTATGCATTCCTATTCACCAACAGTTTACAGAATTTTCCACAATAGTAACTTTCACTAAATATTTTAACTGAGAAGAGAAAGTGTAAAAGAGAAAAATAAAACCAAAAAAGCTGGAAACAAGAAATGGAAAGAAAGAAGAGAGAAGATACAAGTTGCCAAACCCATAATAGACAAGATACAGCTACACAATAGAATTAATGATAGTCAATTAATACTGATAACAGAAGTAGTCCCAGAAAAACTCCATCTTATGATCTAAGTTAGGAAAATGTTACCTTCAGTCTGAGGATCAGCAAGGAATTTTTTTACACAATCAACGAAGTTTGTTCCATTAAAAGGATCCCCACCAATTCCTACACAGGTTGATTGCCCCAGACCAACTGCAGTTGTTTGAAAAACCTACAAGATAAAAATGACAAATATTTTTATTGACAAATTACTAAAAAAGTGTACATGTGGCATCAGCATATACATGCAAAAGAGTGTTAGTTTAGTGTAAGACACAGCTTTATATGAGTTTCTTGAGTTCTATGGTGGTTAAAATGTACGTATATTCAAATGTACATATACACCTACTGAATGTTGGGACAGACTAACTTAAGCATCGAACAAAAATTCACAGGGTTAATTCTATCCATACTTTTTCAACTACTTCCATTAAATCAAATTGATCACTTGAAAACTTTCTTCTTTAACATATAATCTTTACTAAATAGAAATTTTTTTTATAAGAACCACTTCAAGTTTTCTGCAATATATATCTTAAAGGAAAAGGCCATGTGAATAGAACAGAGACAAGAAAAATAGAAACACATGTAGTTTGGCCACAAGCTATGCCAGAAGAACAAAACTGATCTTCAAAATGCCTTGATCCCAACGGGGGTTAGGAGGTTTAGAAAAAAAGCATGCGGAAATTTATCATCAGGCATATAGATAATTAAAAGGTGACTAATATGCACGAATATGAAAGTAAGAAAGTAATGATGGAAACATACAAAATAAATATCCAATAAAAGGTCTTACTGCTTCATATGTTAAAGTGCCCGATCGAGAAACAATTCCTATGCGACCTGGTTTGTGAATATATCCAGGCATGATTCCAATCTTGCATTCCCCAGGTTTAATGATGCCAGGGCAGTTTGGACCAATCAGCCTGGTTTTTGATTGCTGATTAAGGGCAGCCTTCACACGGACCTGCATTACAAAGATATTAGCTTTGATCTCGTAAAGATCAATACAATTCATTTCTAATCACAACTTGGAAGGGTGATATAAACTGTAATTTGTGTCACAGCCCATAAGTGCATATGACAGACATACTCTTGGAAGTGCACATAATGCAAATAAGCTGACTAAAATCACTTCTAAAATCATAACCACAGCACAAATTCATTTCCAGAGATAAGGAAGCAGAATTGCACATTTAGGCACACAATTAAACAAAATGCTTTCATTTGAAGGTGCCTTTGATTCATTTACCATGTCATTTTGAGGAATTCCTTCGGTGATACAAACAGCAAGGTCCAATTCAGCTTCCATTGCCTCCATGATAGCAGCTGCAGCAAAAGGTGGAGGAACATAAATGACAGAAGCATTAGCCTTGGTTTCAGCCTTTGCTTCGGCAACCGTGTTGAAAACAGGAAGTCCTAAGTGCTCTGTTCCACCCTTCTTTGGTGTAACTCCACCAACCTATCAAAAGAAATAAGACAAAATTAAGGACTAAAAAAGATACTGTGACTCTTAAGCAACCTTGGACCATTCCCAGAATTTAAACATAATGGATTGATTGTATCCTTATGTTATACAGAATTTCACATAATATATTACAAAACTAACAGAAACCCAGTTCTCTGACATATATAAACAAATCATATAGGGTCTTATTTTTCCTGCATTTTCTCAATACCTCATCAAGTATTGCAGTGAAGAAAAGCGACCTATTAACAGATTCAGAATTAAAAAAAAAAAAAACAAAAAATCCATGAAAAATAACAATAAGACATAAAAATTTAATAGGAATTTAAAATACCATCTTAGTGCCATATTCGATGGCTTGCTCGGTGTGGAAAGTGCCATTCTTGCCAGTGATTCCTTGGCAAATGACGCGAGTGTTCTTGTCTACGAAAACCGCAGGTTTAGGCGCGGGAGCCGCCGAGAATGACCGTGACCGAGTCCAAAAAGAAGAAGAAGAAGAAGAAGAAGAAGGGGAGGAGGAGGAGGAGAGATTGAATAGGGATATTTGGGGTTTGTGAGGAGAAATCTTGGAAGACAAAGATTGGATGAGCCGTGAGGCTTGTCTAGCCATTGCAGCTGCTACTGATTCACTTGTGGACCTCCTTTGCGTCTGCCGCTGCAAACAACAAACTCTACACGAGAACAAAATTGCGTAGAGAAGCGAAAGCCTTCTCTATCTTGGTCAGCTCCCCTTTTTTTTTTTTCATTAATTATTTTTCCATCCTTTGTTTTTTGGTGTTATGGACCTTTTTGGGCTAGTTTTTGGGTCCAAATTGGGCTATCAGACGAAAGTTATTAGGGTTCTGTTCATCCTGTTAAGCGTTAATTCAAGGGTTAATATTTTAGTGTTCAACTTCGATTAGTTTTGTACTAAACTGTTGAAAAATGTTTATGCGGTATTTGAATTAAAAATATTTAATTAAGTATTTAAATTTGTAATCCATCTGTCAAGTTAGACCAATCCCTAACACCATTAGATAAAAATGTTGACTTGGAAGTCAACCAATCAAAATTTAACACAGTATTCAAATATTATTCATGTAAATAACATATGACAGTGATGTAGTTGACATTTGTTATATTTTGGAAAAAAAGAAAAAAATGCTATGGTTTTTGCACCTTCATCGTCGGCCATGCCATTTTACGCTTGGTTGCTACTGTGGTTATCACCAAGAATGACTGCATCGTTCAAGTTATATTTTCTCCAAATCCAATATGCCTTCCACATTGTTTTCATCTTTTCGAATGAGAAATTGGCAAGAAATACTTAAAAGATGAAGAAGGTGAAGAGCATGTTAACTGAGATGTTAATTGCTTGCCAGGCTGATTGTATCTCTAGAGAGCAGATCTCATTAGCACCAACCATCCAAATTGGTTCCCAAGACCATGCAAATGCTGCAACATATGCACATATTAAGAACAATATTAGATTGACATCTATTTTTGACAAGCCCCTTTTTCCATTCAGCCTAAATTTCCAGCCTATCACTGCTCCTACTGCAAGCTGAAATTATTTTAGCAAGGATTTCATGGTATTTGATTGGATCTGCAATGGTGGAGCTAATAGAAACTATTAGAAATAGGTGAGAGAGTTGGATGAGATTTTCCTTGATTGCTCTATAAAATGGATTTTGGTTTATAATCCAATCCCATAAGCCCCCGTAAAGCGTGTATGGACTCTAAACAAGCTTAATAGAAAATGTAACTTTCATAACTGATTAATGTAACTTTAAAGATGGATTTTGGAGTTCTATTAATGATTTTTTTCCTCTTTGGCTGCAAGTTACGATTGACTTAATACTTGGCCGTGACTAGGGTTGGCATTGGGTTGGATTCGGGGCGGGTTTTGCTCGCCCCGAACCCGACCTAATTTAATATTTTATTAAATCCGAACTTGATCTTATTCGAAAATATTTTTGGTTTTTTATATCCGAACTCGACTCGACTCCAATACCATGTAAACCGTATCCCATTCGACCCGATCCGAAATTAATAAAATATTATTTTTTAAATATAAATATTAAAAAATATCATTATATAAATATATATAATAAAAAATTAAATAATTAATTAAAAAATAATTTTTTATATAATATCAGGTCGGGTCGGGTTTTACGCAAACCCGACCCGACCCGACCCCGAATGTTTCCTTATTTTACTCGACCCGACCTCGAAACCCGAATTTAAAAAAAAAAACCGACCCCGTAAGATCGGGTCGGGCCGAAACCCGTCGGAGACGGGTTAGCTCGTCATCCCTAGCTGTGGCATCATTCTTCTTTTAGGAGCGTTTTTGTAGATTCTTAGATTTCGAGATAAAAAATGATTCTGAAAAAAAAAAAAAATAAAAGAAAATATGTGATTCTCAAGTTTTGTTAATTTTATAAAATGAAAGATTTTTTTTTATGTGGTTAAAAAAATATCAAATTATCTAATAAAATCTTTTACTATATTATGCTTAATGAAATATAAATAATTAGGAAGAGATACTCTGCCCATTATCTCTGCCCCAATTAACTCAAGTATAAAATGTGGAAGGAGGCAACAGAGCATAAAATCTAGCAAACAATCAAGAGAGACAGTGGCCAAAGTTGAGCTCTCATGTCTGATGGTAAACAAAATAACTGGAGTAATAGTAGCCTAAAGGTACTCATGACAGATTTTACATCCCTTGGTTATTGTAAACTCACATATTTTGTATTTAATTCTTTGTCATAATTTCTAATTCTATCAAGAAAACTAGTCTTTGTATTGCAATATATTTTCTATATAAAAAGGACAATTTCTTAAGGACTCGTGTAAAAATGAGATCTTATAATTCTTTTTTCTCCTTAAATTCATTATCGTGTCAGAGCCTTATTGGAGCGAGTCCTAATTGCCTTCTTAACTTTCTTTCTTCTCTACAAAAATTCTTCTAAACTTTTTCTTACTCCCATTCTATTCAAATTCTCTCTTACACATTCCTATAAACATTTGATCTCGTACATCTTTCTCTTAGTTTTTGTTTCTTGCCAAATCTATATCTTTTCTTTCTCCTTTCTCTTATTTTCTTTAATAGCATCATTAATAAAATGTCCATGCCCATCAACACTAAATGTCAGTAATTTTGTTTCTATTTATCTCAACCAAACAAACTAACTCCTTTGTAAAACATAAATCATGGGACTCATTGAAAGTCAAAGCATGCTTGGTATTATTGATGGAAAATATTCCATGCTTGATCAAACAATCTCAACTTCTGATTTTAATCCAGAGTTAAATCCATCATATTTGTCTTGGAAAAAATCTGATTCTCTTCTTTGAAGATGGATTACAGGCACTTTGTTTGAAAAAATCCTTGGTCTTGTGGTTTGTCTTGAAACTTCTGTTGTTGTTTGGAAGGCTTTGGTTGATACTTTTGCCCAAGAATCATACAGTAGGAATTTTATCTCCTACAAAATCTTCCAACATATAAAAGGGAAACTCTACCCATCTCTAATTATATTCTTAAATTCAAGGGGATTTGCGATGACTTAGCTGCTATTGGCAAACCAATCAGTGATAGTACAAAGGTACTTCAATTGTTGCGTGGTCTTGGTAAAAAATATGAATAAATTGTCACAACAATGATGAAGCCACCAATTCCATCATCTGCGAGATTGATCCTCTACTTCAAGGACACAAAACAACGAAATCAGTTAAGTTTTCTGAGGGTTTTGGATCTCTTAATGAGAATACATTTGTTAAACAATGTTTTCAACATTGATCAAGTGGAAGATATTCCAACCAAAAAATTTAGACAGCTTCAGACCGTATTTATCTTTCAAGGTGTTAGTTTTCCTCAAGCCAATTATCGTCCTTCAGTTATCAAGATGATATTTTGCGTGTAAAGCCACTCTAATCACTAATGAGAAGTATTTTACTTTTACAAAACATGATCAAGAATTTGAAGTTATTAGCCAAATTTGTAAGAAACAAAGACAGGCTTCTTTTAACTACTGGCAACGATACAATCAGCTTTACCAATCTGACATTCCATCACAAGCCTCGGTTGCAATGATTATTGCAGTTACCCAAAATAAGGAGTGGCACCTTGATACCGGAGCATCAGCACACATGAAAACAGATGTTGGTAAGTTATTTAATATCACTAAATATAATGGTTATGGAAAAATAATGGTAGGTAATGGAAATGCTTTGGATATCACTCATATTGGCTCTACTTCTATTCACACTGACAATAATAATTTACTCTTGAATAATGTTTTTGTTGCACCAAGATAAAGAAAAATTATTATCTGTTAGTTAATTAACTACTGAACATCTTTATACTTGCAAGTTCTCATTTGGTGAATTTGTGATAAAGGATAAAACAAAGAAACAGGTCATAGCAACAGGAAATAGGTGTAGAAGACTGTATGCCTTACAGCCAACAAATGAAGCAGCCTTTTTTTCAGCTAGATTTCGAGTGGTTATTGATAGAATATGACATGAAAGACTTGGACATCCTAAAATGCTTGTAGTTTTGCTTTTGAAGAAAAACAATTTAATTTTTAGTTCGAATAAAACTAATAAGGTTTAGCATTTTTGCAATAATTATCAAATGGCGAAAGCATGTAAACTTCCTTTTTTAATTAGCAAAGAATTTTGTGATGAACCTATTTTTGTTATTCATTGTGAATTATGGGGTAAATCACCAACTTTGTCACATCAAAATTTTGCTACTATGTTAATTTTATTGATAAATACACACGTTTTGCTTGGTACTTCCCTTTGACGAGTAAATTAGTGTTTTTTCAATACTTTGTGGATTTTCACAAAGTATGTTGAAAATCAATTTGATAAAAAGATCAAGATCTTTCATTCTGATGGTAGAGGTGAGTTCTCTGATAAAAAATTTAATACTTACTTGTCTAGTTTTAGTATTAAACATCAAATATCTTCTCCTCGCATATTTGAACAAAATGGTGTTACAGAGAGAAAGCGTCGGAGCGATTCTGAACTTAGATTAACTATGCTTTTTCATGGAGGAGTACCTAAGAACCTATGGAATGAAGCATTTGGGACAACTGTATGGTTGATAAATCGATAGTCCTCAAGGGTGCTAAAGCGGAAATGTCTTTATGAAGTACTTATCATTAAAATACACCTTCATAAAACAAAACGCTAAATACTCATCATTAGAATACACCTTCATGGCCAATTCGATTACTTCTGAACCTAAGACATTGAAATCTACATTGTAACATCCTAGTTGGTCTCAAGCTATGAAAGAAGAATTGGTGGAACTTCATGAAAATGGAACTTGGGAACTTGTTCTATGGACTTCTAACGTACATGTGATTGGATGCGTATGGGTTTATAAAACAAAATTAAACTCTGATGGATCCTTGGAGAGGTTGAAAGCTCGCTTTGTTGCCAAAGGGTATTCTCAAGTACCAAGTTTGGATTTTTCATAAACTTTTTCACCTGTTATCAAACCAACAACTATATGCATTGTCCTCACTGTTGCTTTAGTTCACGAATGGAAATGAAGTAATTGGATGTGAAAAATGCATTTTTGCGTAGAACATTGTCTGAACCTGTTTACATGGAACAACCATCTGGATTTTAAGATACAACTAAGCCCACTCATGTTTGTCGATTAAAAAAGGCCTTGTATGGTTTTCGTCAAGCTCCTCGTGCTTGGTTTGATTATTTTAGTCATTTTCTTCTTTCTATTGTTTTTGTTATAGTTTCA